AATAGCGCACGAACACCGGCAGACGAATTCACGAGCACTCAGATCTGGTGTTCTGCTCCCACAAATAGTCATTCTCAACAACTTCCCCTCGAGTGCGGTAAACTTTTTACAACTGCTTTCGTATCATCTGCCCGAGTAATTAGTTTAGACATACAATGTGAAGGGGGAAGCAGTGGAGCCATGCTCATTATAGGATTGCCATTTTCACCATTCACATTAATTGAGGCAAGATTGAATTTTTTTTTCCATTGACTACATATTTTTCTCCCAAGGCCTTTGTCACGTAATACGCCCTCTAGCTTCGCAGATTAACCACCAAGTCTAAATCAATCACCTCCCCCAAGATTTCTGCCTGTCTAATTGTCCGAGGGAAATCATCAAGGATAATTCGAGATTCGCCTTTTCCCCTTTCCAGCTTCAAGTCTCTTGGATAACAAGTTGATAATTATCTCATCTAAAACCAATTTACCTTGGTTAACAATCTCTGACAGCTGCCGAAAAAATAAATCAACCTCTAAGTCAAGAACTGCCACGATGAATCCCGAAGACACAGATAGAGAATTGGATACGGAGAATCAGGACAGTAATTGGTCTAGAGTAAAAAATCTTTGTCGTGCCCTAAGAAATGAATTTCCTTTTCATCTAATTACTTCAAACCAAATTGCTTTCAGATTGTTAGAACAATTAGGATTAAAAGAAAAAAATGGTTGTGTCATGGACGAAGCCGCTGTCGTGAAAGCAATTTTGACACGATCAAAGTACTACATCGTATGCTAGTCGATTACTCTCCAAGATTAGCACAACTTCGAACTCATTAATGGTTCCCAACAAATGTACCTGGGAGATCGCTCATTTGTTTTTCCTCATCATTCTCTCGTCTCCTTCACACCCAAACCACGAAAACAGCCTGTGCTCTCAATACTGATTTGGGTTTGGCCTTTTTGGCCGGTTCCTTCATGGGTTTTTGTGACTTCGTAAGAGGGTGTTCAGATTTTGTATGATTTGGAAAAAAGCTTCTGCCTTTAGGTTTAGTTTGAGCTAATAAAGTAATCACAGTTTCTACGAGTGCCGACTTCCCAAACTTCTTGTAGTATTGGGGACTAACCATTCGCCCTTAACCTTGTCTATCGAAACATTCAAGAACTTCAATTCCGGAAATTCGATGAAAAATTACAAGTCGAGAGATTTCGCAATTTCAAATTAGAAAGTTTCTCCAACCCAGCTGGAAGATTTTTGCAAAAACCCAAATCAAATACTGGATTATTAGAGCCCTTCCTCTCCCTTTTGTTGCATCTTTGTAGCTAGCGAGTCGCCTCGAGTTGTCGCCCCGGTGGTGAGTTTCACCGGAGAAGGGGAGGAAGAAGAAGGTGAAAGGGGGAGAAAATTTGAAAAAATTAAAAAGTCGAATCATTAAAAAATATATGACTAATTAATAATATTTAATATTGGGATCGGTGGTGGCTCGGGACGGCGGCGTGTTGGAGAAAATCATGGAACCACGATTTTGTTATTAAAAATGAGCAGGACTTACCAATCAAATAAAAGTGGGTTTTTTTCTCTTTACTTTTGTTATTTTATTATTTTACTTTTTTTTTTTGAGAGAGATTGAAGAGTTTTATTATTATTATTATTATTATTATCATCATTATTATCATTATTTATCACTGAAGGTTAATTTTTTTTTACTAATTATATTCCTTAATATGAAAATCCAGATCTCATCCATTTATGATTTTAATTATAATAATAACAAAGGTGAGTTGCAAATATGGTTAAAATATTTAGTAAAATTAGCAAAATAACAATCACATTTAGTTTTTTCAAATATAACACTCAAGAAAAAACGGAGGTCCAATTTTAAAATGACAATTTTATCTAAATGATATACATATATAATATATCTATAATATATTGGTAATATATATGTAATATATATGACTATTGATATATGTATGTGATATACACATAATATACTATTAATATGAGTGTCTGATATACTTGGAATATGAATGTGATATACGTCTAATATAGTACTTATACAAATATATGTACAATAGGTATGTGATATACATCTAATACTGATACAAGTGTCTAATATACTACTGATATAAATAAAATTTTTTTGTTATATTTGAAAATTTAARAAACAGGTGATATATTTTTGGAAATACATAAAAAATTTTTACTACGCACGGCAGTTTCCATAATAATAATAATCCTCCAAGAAATCAGTAACAAGCATCACATTTTGTAATGCTATATCCTCAAAAAGTGCTAACAATAACAATAACGCCAATTTAAATATAGTTAAATGAGTTGCATTCATAAGTCATAACCTCCTCCAAAGATTAAAAATTAAAAATCCCGGCCCATACATATCCAAACTAAAAGTAGTAATAATGAGTATACTAGACAAAAAAAAAAAAAAGACTTGATGATTAAATTACATTATTACCAATTTACCATTGGTCTATCCGAGCACTAACATGGACCGGGCCTTTATTGGAAGACAACCAAGCTGGTCCAGTTTAGAAGCCCAAGGCCCAACAACTCCATACACCTGTCCAAGCGAAGTGCGACACGCAAAATAATGATTTAAAGTTTAAACCACGTGTCCGATACCCGACAAACGCGACACTAATTAATCAATTAATTGAATTGAATTGAAGTGAACACATCACAGTGGGACCCGTTATCGTGAAATCTGGCCTGTATTATTTAATTACATTATTTAATCACATTACACCATAGATTTTGGATGCAGTGTAGAAGAACGTGCCAACGTGGAGCGACAGTTGGGACGGTTCTGGAATCAGAACGAATGATGTCCGATTATTGTCCGCCACGTGGCGTTTCCGTTGCCCCCGCCTAATCTTCCCCGACAGTGAAATTAACATGGAACGTGGCGGCATTCCTCTGAATCTCCTCCACATTCCGTTTGTGCAGCGTAAACCAATTGCTTACCCACTTCCAAATTAAAAGTTCTGTTTTTTATTTTCTTCTTTTTTTCCTTTTTTGTTTTGTTTTTCCTCTCTTCTTCTTTCTTCTTCTTTTCGAAGGAAAAGAAGAGACTTTAGGGTTTGGGTTCGATCTGGATGGTATTATTATTATTTAAATTTAATTTCATGGAGTTGAAGCAAAGTGCGGTATGGCGTAAAACTTTTGTGTATAATTTTGAGTTTAAATGCCGTCTTTTTCACTTCTAAGTTTCCCCCAATTAGATCGAGGAGGAGTTTGCGTCTCTCCTTTATAAATAATAGCGATTGGTGGTGGGAGTATATTGTGTTCTTGACTGGATTTTTCAGGTACTTTTTTATTTTTATATTTTTCCCCCTTTTCTTGGCGTTCCCCCAGTTCAATTTCATTGTTTCTTTATTCGTTCTTCAAGATATTTGTTTTTTGTTTCAACTTTTTGGTTCTGTTTTTTTCTCCCCTCCTAATAGAAGTTGAAGTTTAACTCATCTGGGGTTAAGTTTTAGTGGTTATTCTGCTTGTAGGATGGAGAATTTTTGGTTGTTGGTACTGAAATTTTCTTTCCTTCTTGTCTGTATTTTCTCACCAGGAAGAGAACAAAACGTAGCAAAAGCTGCACCAAAAACAGAATCCGAGTGAGGGAGGTCCTTGGATGTCAGATTTTGGTTTCTGTGGATTGTAATTTCTTTTTAGACTTTTGAGTGTGGCCAAGTGAGATGGAATTTTCAGCCCTTCTAACTTCGGTAGGGATTAATATCGGCATCTGCTTGCTGCTTTTCTCTCTGTATTCGATATTGAGAAAGCAGCCGAGCAATGTAACTGTGTACTTCGGTCGGAAGATCGCTTCGAGAAAGTTGAAACGCAGCGAAACCTTTTGCTTAGATAGGTTTGTTCCTTCCCCTAGCTGGATACTGAAAGCTTGGGAGACAACCGAGGAAGAAATTTTGGCTCTTGATGGCCTGGATGCTGTGGTTTTTGTCAGGATAATCATATTCAGGTTGCTTCCACCTCTCCAAAATTGGTTTTGATTTCTTTAAATGGAAGATCAAATGCTAGCAAACTCTATTTTTTTGTTCTTTGTGATTTCTGTATGTGCAATATGATGTCTGTGCATGTTGCTTTTGGCCAAGTTGCTGTTTTCTGTTGATTAATCTTTTGTTCTTATTAGTCACCTGCCCTCCCTCACAGTCAAAGTCTAATAGAATTGTTAGTTTTTGCTTCTAGTTTCATCTCTTACTCTGTTGGTGTGATTTGCAACTGTTTGTTTATTGCTTGTCATGTCATTATGATTCGAAGTCATAATGTAAAAACATTAGAAGAAAACTACATCAGTTGGATTATTCTATGTGATTTAGAATTGTATGTTCATGTTTCAAAGTGATTTACATATGCAGTCGTTAGTTGCCATCCTTACTTACACCTGAGGCCCGTTTGATAACCATTTACCTTATAAACATTACTTCTACCTTTGTAATTTATTGTTTCGTTATCTACTTTTTAGAAAAAGTTTTAAAAGTTTTAGTCAAATTTAAAAAGGTAAAAGAAGTGGTTTTCAGCCAACCTAAGCATGTCAGATGTTTGAATTCCTACCACCGAGAAAAAAATAGCTAAGAACTCACATGAGTTTTCTAGAAAAGTGAAAAACATAGTGAAGGAATGGTGAGGATGTAAGCATAAACAGAAAACTAAAACCGAAATCTTTATCAAATGTTTGTAAACCTGAGAGGTCTTACATGAGTGTAGATTCGGATAAGGTTTTTGCTTGATTTCTATGTTCCTCATTTAATCTAACAGAATGCTGTGTAGCCTAAGGATTATGGTATTGGTTTTCATTATTTAGGCCCCACATGCTGCTTTGCGTTTTCCAGTTATTAGGAATCCTTTTTGATTATTTTAAATCGAAACAAAACATACTTGTATATTCATTGTGTTCTTGCAAAGTGCTTATATCCGACTTCCTGTATGTTGTTGAAACAATTTTCAGTTATCTGATTTTGCTTACTGCAGATGCTAATTCTTTTGCTGTACAGCATTCGAGTCTTTTCAATTGCTGCCATCATTTGCATATTTCTAGTGCTTCCAGTGAATTACTATGGCCAAGAAATGACTCACAAGCTCATACCTTCAGAGTCGCTCCACGTTTTTTCCATCGAGAACGTCAAAGAGAATTCAAAATGGTACTGAGAGAGATATTAAAACTCCATTGCTTATGTACTTAACTATGTTATGTTCTTAATCTAACTCTTGATTTTTTTTTCTCTCCTTCATCAGGCTTTGTGCTCATTGTATCGCTTTATACGTCATATCTTGCTCGGCTTGTGTGCTCCTTTACTTTGTAAGTTCTGCGGGAAGTTTATGGATCATGTTTTCATTTTCCTTTCTTCAATTGCATTTATTTTGATGTTCTTTTTTCTCCCTCTCGAATTGTTATCAGGAGTACTCAAGCATCAGTAGAATGAGACTTATCCACATCACTGGTTCTGTTATGAATCCTAGTCATTTTACGGTTTTAGTCCGCTCGATTCCCTGGTCTGCAGAGGAATCTTATAGTGAAACTGTTAGGAAATTCTTCACCAATTATCATGCAGCAGGTTACTTGTCACACCAAATGATATATCGCTCTGGTACCATTCATAAACTGATGGTACGCATCCTATCCGCCCAAACATTATTCTAACTTGTTTCATAAGTTCGCCATCAATTTTAATTTGATGGGACAAATGCATTTTCGAATCTCATTTTACTATATGGGTATGTGTTAAGGATCCCACGTTGAAAAGAAAAGGAACTTAACAAGGGTTTATAATAGTTATGGACTACTCCTCTCATTGCCAATTGGTTTTGAGATGGAACCGCACGAATATTGATAGTCTTTAACATGTATAATATATTTGATTTTCCTTTAGAATCTAAAGGGATGAGCAAGATGAATTTGTCTGTGATTGTATATCTAATTTACTTCTAGAATAACCATCATATAAAAGTGAACTAAGTAAATCTGCTGTTGGATCATTCGCTGATTGTCCTCTAAAGTCGGAACTGATCTGGTTACTACTTATGCTTTAAAAGGAGGCGCCATAAGAAAGATATCGAAATGGATTAAAACGTGTGCTAGGAACATCATTTTACGAATGGTCCGGATGTGGAACCTCGACTTTAGGAGAAAAACATGGATGAATAGGTCTGCAATTCGTGCAGTATTTTTGTGTAAATTTAGCCGTCAAATTGTCAAATATTATGCTTTATTTTGGTCATTTTTGGAAAGTTCATGACAGTGAATTTCCAGGATGATGCAGAGAAAATGTACAACTCACTGAAGGAAAATTCGGTGGAAATGCAGTGCCAGACCAAGATAAAAGGATGCTGTTTCTGTGCAGGGCCAACAAATTCTTTTGCAATTCTGCCTCGTGTGAAGGATAAAGGTGCATATGGAGGCATAGACTTAGTGGGAGCAGAAAAGGTAAGAGATTTTTATTATATCACAATCACTGCATAAAAACGAAACATAGATCTTTTTCTTTTTTTTTTCCTTTTCTTTTCTCTGGCTTAGTTGTGTAAATTGTTCTGTGAAAAACAGGAGTGTTCGGCAGCGTTTGTATTCTTCAAGACTCGGTATGCTGCCCTTATGGCGGCGAAGGTTCTTCAGTCGGCGAATCCTATGTCATGGGCAACAGACTTAGCTCCCGAACCTCGCGATGTTTATTGGTCAAACCTTTCTATACCGTATAGGCAACTTTGGATTCGTAAGATAGGAACGCTGGTTGCTGCTACCGCATTCATGCTCGTTTTTCTGCTCCCTGTAACACTTGTTCAAAGCATGACGCAACTCGAAGAACTACAGCGAAAATTCCCATTCCTCAGAAGCGTCTTGGAAAAGTAGTAAAATAGAAAATTTATGTTGCAATTCTGCAGGAGGATGTATGTACATGAATCAAGGAATTTTGACTGGGTGTGGCTTTATGATTGATGCAGGAAATATATGAGCCAACTGGTGACGGGTTACTTACCAAGCGTGATATTGGTCCTGTTTTTGTATCTGGTTCCACCTACTATGATGTCATTTTCGGCCATGGAGGGATCTATTTCGCGCAGCGGGAGGAAAAAGAGTGCGTGCCTGAAGGTCTTGTACTTCACAATCTGGAACGTGTTTTTTGTCAACGTATTTACGGGKTCTATTCTTCGTGCATTGAATGTGTTTTTCAGTGTAAAGGACTTACCTGCCCAATTTGGCAGAGCAGTACCAGCACAGGTGATAAAAATAACACTTTGCTTTATTTGATTATGTTCATTGAAGTGAGCACAACGTAATTAAGATCATATTAGCAACCTTTTCGATACAGGCGAGTTTCTTCTTGACTTATGTTCTATCATCTGGATGGGCAAGTTTGGCTATTGAAGTGATGCAGGTTTTTCCTCTTACCTGCAACTTGTTCAGAAGATGTATACTTAGAATCAAGGATGAACCTATTCATGAAACTCTTTCATTCCCATATCATACCGAAGTTCCTAGAATTCTCCTTTTCGGTTTTCTCGGCTTCACGTGTTCCATCTTGGCTCCTTTGATCACGCCCTTCTTGCTCGTTTACTTTTTTCTTGCCTACCTTGTTTACAAAAACCAGGTCAGTTCCACTTCTTGCTGGCCTAACAAATTCTTGTTCTGAATCTCAACTACTATTAACTAACTAATTATATTCTCTCAGATTCTCAACGTCTATATATCGAAATACGAAAGCGGGGGACAATTTTGGCCCGTAGCTCACAACACTACCATCTTCGCTCTGGTATTGGCTCAAATTATTGCTCTTGGAGTGTTTGGTCTAAAGGAGTCTCCAGTTGCATCAGGTTTCACCATTCCTTTGATTATCGGCACGCTCCTCTTTCACGAGTACTGCAGGCAACGTTTCCTACCGATTTTCAGAAACACTGCTGCAGAGGTTAGAACAACTCGAAATTGTGTGCGCATGTATGTGTGCGTTTCTCTTTTCCTTAAAAAAAAGTTAAACCATGCCTCCTATCGTTTCTCAGTTGCTCATCGAGATGGACCGAAAAGACGAGCAATCTGGCAGGATGGAAAAGATCTATGAAGAGTTACGCAAGGCCTATTGCCAGTTCACGTTGTTGGCTAACCGACACTCGAGTAAACCGGGGTGTTTGAGTAAGCAGGAGAGCGAGAACGACACAGAGAGCGGAAAACCAGGTTACAGTCTAAGAACTTAATCCTGGCTGTCTTTTCTTAGTGAAGAAACCCAGTTAATTGATTTTTCTTCTTCTCTGGCCATGCCTTATTTTGTTTAAAAATTTCAGGGAAGCCCCCCATGAAAGTACTCGAGTTGTGGACTGCTCCTACCCATTTGGATGAACCAGAACCCAGCCAAAAGTAATTCTATTCATTCTTCTTTTCTATCTTAATTGTACAAATTCCCATTTCATACCGTATTTATGTTGATCAAAAGACTCGATGTCGATGTCGATGTCGATGTCGATAATGATTGGAAATATATTCTTTTAGGAGTGTTATGAAAGTTTTATGAAATGATGTCAATATTTGTGAACATAAAACACAAATAATACTGACGATTAAGAACTTTCATATGAGGTATATAGTGAATATATATCTGTATTGTTTCAAACTAATTTTATGAGTTTGTAACATGGTATTAAATTTTCGTTCATATGTCATCATTGAATCCATAAATGGGGAGTTAGAGATATTTTCTACTATAAAGATTGATAAAATATATAAAAAAAATATTAAAAATATCACTAATATAGATTGTTATGATTCTTTTTAAAACAATATCTATTGATAATTTGATATCCAACATTTTATCCCTATTTATGTAAAATTGAGAYTTTGATATTTTCATTCGACGTCGACATTTAAAAATTTTGGTTTCTATGAATTTTCTTCAAGATGTCCTTCCAATGGTGAACGACTTTTTTTACTACATAATTTGGAAATGTTTCTTATAAATGAAAAACAAGAAATAGAAACAATTATCAATTACCTATGTTTTTCAAAAATCGAAACAAGAACTAAGAATGAAGAATGTTATCTAACAAACCACAAAAAAAAAATCATTAAACTTCAAAATTGCTCAAGAAATTTCACATTTGCCACAAATATAATTTTCATACTTTTCCATCCATTTCATTATCTAAGTACAATGCAGGAAACAACCTGTGCCAAAAAATCATTAAATCTAAAGAAACTATTAATGTAAAATTTATAATGATATATAGGAGATAACTTTAAAAAATACCTTATTCTAAAATTTCATCCTAGAATTTTCTAACAAAAGAACCCATTTAACTTTATTCTATAACTATTTTATTTTTAGTATGTTTTTACTATTTTTAAAAACACGTTTGAACTATTAGTCTAATTTCATTAAAAAAAATAGAATTTTTAAAACTTACCTTTTTTTTAGATTTAAAAAAGCATATAGAAAAGAAAATACACTCGAAAGAACGTATTAATTTCTCCGATGTTTTATACTGTAATCCCACTCCAAAACAGCTAAAACGAACGTAACTCAACGATAATTAACATATATCTCCYCAACCAAGARGATGTGAGTTCGATCCTCTACCCCACATATTTCTTATAAGTTAGAATATCATGTTAGTCGAACCTGGATCTTGGATGTCAATACCTTAAGACTCTTGCCATTGCGCCAACACCTGATGGTACAATATAGTTTAGTAATTAAAGATATTATATCACTTCCAAACATCATAACTTTTCAAGTCTTCACTTTCATATTTTGATGTAATATATTCTAAAACAATGATAAAAACAAGACACCATAAAAAAATGTTTAAATCTTATTTTCATCGTCACACTTTTATGTTTTACGTTTTTCAAAACTAGCCTTAAGACCCTATGTAAATTTGGCTTAACAGAATTCCCACTACTTTTCTTGAGTAAAGAGATTCGACGTAACCTGTAAAAATGAAGAGATTACACAATTGTGTGGTGCTCSCTACATAAATTTCATAGTTTAAGTCATATATGAATTTGTGTTGTTAGATGTAGCAAAAATTAGGATTTTATTACACATCTCAATTACAAGACGCTCTTCCTGCCACAGTGGATGCTTTCATTTTGGAATATATCAAGATTCCTCTTTCCACCAACCGGTCTCGTTCTTTGGTGCAATGACTAATTGTGCTCGATCATTTGATTTATGTGGCTTGAAAGAAACAATCGTCTCTTTACAGACGTCTCTAGAACGGCAGCTAATCTATGGGAGGATACCTCTTTTTGGTCCCATCTTTCTTCCGTAGTTACGATATTTCCACAATCTCTTTGAACTGAAGTGCGTTTATTTAGCATCCTCCTCTTATATGTTTCTCACATACTTTTTTGAATGAATGATGCGTCGTTTTAATAAAATCATACCAATCCAGGGACTCTGAGCTCGACCCAAGGACTTTGAGCTCAGCTCTGCGCCGCTTAGCCTAAAGGGCTCATCCATGGCCTATTTGGCTCGTGCCTCCACCCTTGCCTTATGATGTTAGGCTTGTAGGCTAGATCCTTAGAGATTTAATTTATATTTGAGGAATCAACTCTTAGATCATCATCAAGCTTAGGAATTATACAATATAATGTGAGCTCTGACTTCCTGAATTTTGTATTGTTCACTTGTTAACTAAGATTTTTTCTTACCCATACCAAACAAATTTTTGGAGGGAATTTACTATATTTCAAAACTCAGCTTCTTTTTAGTAATCTAAATCGATATTTTTTTATTTTTTATAACTTATGATACTTTTCCATTATTTCTATGAACTAGAGTGTTCTCATCTACCTCATATTTTGTATGTTTTATCCTCACATACTTCTTTGAATGAAGGGCATGTTTGCCTAAAAAATATATATATTTTAAATACATTTTTGTCCTTAAATTTTGTAACATTAGCTTTAATCTTTGCCACTAAACATTTTTTCCCTAGATAACTTAATCCAACCCCCACATAGATAATGAAAATTGCAACTGCATCACTCTTCAAACGATTCTGATTCCATTTGATTATTAAAATGTTAGTATATAAAAGATATTAACAGCACAAACTAAAAATAAATTAATTAGTACGAAAAACATAAACTTTATTATCTCCATAGTAGTGAGTGTCATAATCAAAGTTTAAACAGACAAATTGAGAAAGAATTATTCAGATTACACAGCAAAAAAGTTAAGCAGGTCAGTTTAATTTTTAATAATAAACACAATTTAATTTAAAACAAAAAAGAAAAAAAAAGGTGGTGAAGGAAGTCGTTGTTTGGCTGTTGGTTTTGTCATAACCTGAGCAAGAATATCGCCCCAATCACGGAGGCTAATTTTGTTAAAAATATATTTTTATGTCTGTTTTCTTTTTTTTTTTTGGTTCTTTGTTTTGGACATCTTCTGCTCTGCTTCTTCTTCTCTAGGTATATTCCCTTCTAACTTTACACTTTCAAATTTCTTTTGGTTATTATTATCATTACTATTATAATAATAAAAAAATGACCCTCAAATGAATTAATTGTATTGATATATAAATATATGGTTTTTGGAATTGGGAGCTTACGTGGATTTCCACTAATATATGGCTCCTTATATAATATATGTGTAACTTAAATTATTTATTGAAATATTGGATCAAGTTTAGGCCATGATCTAGATTTCTAGGTTGGAGTAGTGTGTAAGCGAGTTCGTTTGAGTTTATTTTTATATTGGGGTAAAGCTAAGGTTATCTCAATAGCTCTAGGAGTGTAGGTTGGATGGTTGGATGAGAAAATTATATATTTTAGTAAAATTCAATGTTCGCCAATATATTAATTTAAAGAAAAATTTGAAAATTCAATCAGAAATTGACTCTAATATAGTACTTTGTCTGGGAGGAACTAAAGAAAAGAATCAGAGATAGCGTATCTCCGTTTGTATGAGACATTTTAATTGAAAAAAGAAAACAATCAAAATTACGAAGACTTATGTCAAAGTGGACAAGTTATTCCTGACACACCATCCATACGAGCCATTTATAAAGCACTTTGAGACTGTTGAGGAAATTTTTCTAAAAAATGTGAAATATATTCTTATAGGAGTGTGCCAAGTACGTATTTTCATCCCATGGAGATGGGGTAGTGACAAGGATACAGGGCCTTGTGGTATCGCCTACCATATGAGATCATCTATTTGAGACCTGCGTTGGTCACAATATTGTTTGGCCCAAACAAGAGTCCCAAGTAAGCTAGCCACACAACATCGATGGTGGTCAATCATGGGTTTGAACTCATTCCGTCTTAATTAATCCCAACCCTTTTGGACCAATGAGTCACTCATGATGGTTCTATATAAATATTTTTTCTGCTTATTATTATTAATACAACGAACGTGAAGATGGAGATTTGAATCTCCAATTTCAAGAGAATAAGTAGATATGTTAATGATCGCGCTCTGACTATTATTGGTGTCATTACTTCCATAGAAAGATGATGTAAATCTTCTGAATCTTCAAATTGTCAAATAATTACCTCTCTATGAGTAAGATTAATAGGATTGTGACCAACCCCTAAAACAGATAATGTTGAATAATGGTGCAAAACTAAATAAAACCCACGCTACCCTATGGATTTGGGCATTTATCCATTTAACTCACACTTTTGGTGGAAATTAAAATCTTTGGCTAAGGCCCTAAATCCAACGTAAAGGTATGTATATACATAATGCTGATCTCTATTCTTCTAACTTCAATGATGATATATAATGCAGTCAAGCAAACTTTCAACCTTTACTTTAACTACTACAAAAAGGAAAGAGAAAAAATAAACCCTTATTTTTCAAGAAAATACTATTCAAAATAAGTACATATATAAACAAGTAAAACCCTAAACCAATCTCAAAATAATCCTTTCAAATTCCCATTAATAAAAAAGGAAGATAAGTTGTTTAAGAAGCATTCACACACACACCAAATAGGAATTTTGAAAATTCTATGAATTG